TCATTTGTTGCAAAGCTGCAGCAAGTGATTGAGCTGATTACAGTTGTTTTTCAACCTCTTTTTGAATTTCCTTTTGAATAATTGGAGTTACTACAATATTGAAGATTGTTTGCAGACATGGTGACTTTTGAGGTGACTTTGAAGCTAATGCTATGTGACATATGCTGATGCTAGATGTTAGTGTAGATTCAGAGGGCAGTGGCTGATTTAGTGTAGTTCCTGGAGCTAGTATTGGTGATGATACTATCATAGATTCTGGGTGTTGAGATGATGAAGGCTCAGGTTTAGATCACGGTGTTTCAAACGTATTAGCAATTTGCAACTTTTACTAATCGATTTTATTGATGTCAAGTGGAACAAGCCAATATTCTGAAATCCAGTGACTATTTGGTCAGTGTAAAAACTTCACCAGAGCAATCAAGTTTTTTTTTGCAGGTAACTAAAACATTCTTTTGATAAGTTGCTGAACTTTGTCTCTGCATAAAACTGTTAAAGTAATTTGCGTCGAACTCTTTTGACATGGCAATAAACACTGACATCTAATGGCTGCAGAATATGTTACAAGTGAGCTGGTTAGCAAACTAACAAGATATATTTTTCGATGCAAATGAGTACGACCCGATAAGTGACATGTGTCACATGTCCATCTACGACTAAAATATGAATACCTAAAATTAAGTTAATGTAATCTTTTGTAAATGTAAATTTAGATAAATGAATTAAATAACTAAAATTAGATTGAACTAATTACCTGAAGTTTTCCTAATGGCGAGAACATACACGTTAGTGAGCCACTGCACAAAGTGGTTATCTTCCATCCATGTGGATGAAGAGAGAGCGTATATTGCATCATCTGGACCACTTAAACACCAATATCTGTACAGACATTTTTTTGATTTAAAAACAATGTCTGGAGCAAGACAATTAGCAGCAGCATAAATGCAATTTCCAACTGTATAATGGATTTTTTCATTGTTGTCAAATAATTTCAATGGTCATTTTGCACCACGCCGGCAAACTATATTTTGCTTACCTTGATCAACAAAGAAGCCAATCTCATCAAAACTCCACAAATGATATGGAGTTGATATATTGATATCTGCTATGTTAAATTCTCTTTGCAGTGTGTTGAAATACGTTACTGCTAATTCTTGCTGCAATAATCGGCTCTGAGTGATGAAATATTGCCTATGGCTCTGATGCTCAACCTATGACTCCACTGGTTTATAAAAAGGTTACACCAATCTCATCCTGGTTTACCATTAGGAAACAAATGAGATTGACTTAGGTGTTGCAATTAGTCGGTAACTAGTGTGATGACGTTATTGTAAGTTCTACCAAAGCCTAAATCAAATAATTTGATGAGCGTATCTACCAAATCTGATTCATGTTGTTTTGACAATCTCGAGCTTGAACCACTGCCAATTGTTTTACCTATGCCGTGGGCAAGCCTGTGAAGAGTTGCTATTGGTATGCTGAATGATTTAACAGTTTTTCTTAAGTGAAAATTCATCGCTTTGTACTTTAACCACCTCAAGCGCGACTTGCTTTTCGGTGTATTGTTTTTCTTTTTTCTTTGCGTGCAAGTTATTTCTAAGCATATTTTATATTAAAACAGATTTAAAAATGACCCATTTAAAATTTATGCACAAAATTTATCGAGATAGCTTGGTCACTTTGGACTTAATTAATAAAAACCGCATTTAACAAGAGAGTAACTAGCGTATATCATCCATTCATTAGAATCATTTAATAAAAGTAGTCAGTAAAATTCATTCATTTAAGTTCAGAAAAATTTTAATGAAAAAATATTTTTAATACAAAAAATTTATAGTTGAAGATTTATTGGTGACTTTAGGAAGTGAGCTGCTGCTTCAGCTGCTATTATTAGCGTATCTAATTCACAATTCTCCTATATATATATATATATATATATATATATATATATATATATATATATATATATATATATATATATATATATATATATATATATATATATATATATATATATATATATATATATATATATATATATATATATATATATATATGTATATATATATAATTGAAAGAAGAAAAAAAAAAGCAGAAATAATCAATTCTAAAGAATTCCTTTTATAATAGTGTCAGCATATTCCACAAATGTGTGAAAATTTACAGTAGTTATGACATTTGCGACTTCCTGTAATTTAGTTTTTTAGCATAAATTGAAGTTTTATTAATTTGATCATTCATCTCTGATGAGTCAATCACAGTGTTAAATCAAAAAAAATTTTTGCTAAATGATTTTCTACTACTTTATAATTGCTATGTTCTTTTAAGAATATTGAGCACTCTATTTTGTAGAATAGATTTTAAGAATTATATATATATATATATATATATATATATATATATATATATATATATATATATATATATATATATATATATATATATATATATATTAAGCTACCTGATTGATCAAACCTGATTGATTAAGACTTATTAAGGGCCTATATAAATATATATATATATTTATATAGGCCTGACTTGATTAAGATTGATTAAGACTTGATTAAGGGCTTATATATATATATATATATATATATATATATATATATATATATATATATATATATATATATATATATATATATATATATATATATATATATATATAACAAGAACAATATTTTTTCTCAAACAATTAGTCATAGTAAGCATTATAAGAGCCGTTTCTGTAACAAGGACTTTATTTTAAAGTGATGTGTTTACATTTCTAATTTGTAAATAATACAAAAAAAAAAATAATTCAAATATAAAATTTACTATGTTTTAGGTTTGTTCGCCAACAAACTAAACTTTTAATTCATATATAAAAAACTTAACATCACATAAATATATATATATATATATATATATATATATATATATATATATATATATATATAAATTTTGAGTTAATTTTTGGTTCCTCCGCCCCCCTGTCGCTACGTGTTAATATGTTCAATATATTTCAATTTATTTGTTCCATTACAAAGTTTAATATAACACAAGATGTTAAAATATACTTTTTAAAGTTTAATAAAACAACACGTGAAGTGTTGTTTGGCTGTTGTCAGTTCTTAATGTATCTTCCCAGTTGGCACTGGACCTAAAAAAGACGTTTTTTAAACGTTCAAAAGACGTCCAAAACGTGTATAAGACGTTTAAAAGACGTCTTTTTTACTTACGTGCCCACTGGGTTGCAATTAATTTATCACTACCTTTCAGACTAGCTACGGCTTTATAACTTTCAGTGTTTGTATAGCCCTGGCGAGCTTCTATCTTAAAATTGTTTCCAGGAGCGAAGACCTAGGGAAAGGTAGTATTGTACGCTTTTTTGTTACAAAATTTTGCAATTAATTTTTCAAAACACTCTAAATTAGCTTTAAAATTTTCAACAGTTGTATAGTCCAAATAACGTTGCGATGATGCATATTAAAACATTTTCACAGGGCCTACGATTAAGGGGAACAAGTGCCCTTCCCATCTTCCTATTCTAACTTTTTTATTTGTTATAAAGGAAAGAATTTCAGAAAAAATCTTTGAAAAGGTGTCTTTAAAAAATTTTAAATTTATTTGTTGTTAGGGGTCGTCCATAAAGTACGTACGCTTTTTTTTTTTGTCCACCCCCCTGCATTTTGCAATAAGTTTACAACTGAAACTTATAAATATCATATAATAATTAGTATTTTAGTTACTTAGTTTATTATACCCATTTGTTTCATAAAACGTAATTAAATATATTTATTATGCCGCGTTTCGTAAGTTTTCTTCCGCAAGTTGTGGTAGGAAATAGTTTCGCTTCGAAAAAAATTTGATTTTTTATCATTATTTCAAAAAATAAAATCTTTATATGTTAATATGTTGCAATACTGATAATAAAATTTTATTATAAAAGTTTTGGTATAAAAAAAAATTGTTTTTAACAATTATATCCGTTTGGCCGATGAGCTTTCTTTATAGACTTCAAAACGTTGTTTAATCTAAAGAGCTCGTTTCGCAAGTGAGACTTCCGTAAGCGCTACTTTCGTATGTAGCAAAATAGTTCCATTTTGTAATTTAATTTACGAAAGGTAACACTTCGTTTGAGGCATTTGGGAAACAAATATTGACAGTTTTTTTGTTTCGTAAAATTCGCTACGAAAAAAAAATTCCTTTGTCTCAATAACCTTCTAAAAGAATTCTATTTTTCCGGAATCGTACGAAATTTTCCGGTTAACAACTCTACTATACGTAACTCTTCCAAACCAAAAATCACATTTGTTTATAAGTTTATGCACACCACGTTTGCAAGATCAAACAAATTTTGAGCCTGTTTAAAGTAAACAAATTTTTAAAACGAGAAATTTGCCCTCTTGTTTGTTTGTTTAATTTTATCTTACACTTTAGTTTCAAGAAAAGGTTAAAAATTGAATATGGAAAAAACAACAACAAACAAACAATCCGTTTATAAAATGTGCAGTATTATAATTGCGCGTTTTGTGTAATGCACAAATGGTTGGAGTGTTATCAATAATTCGCGAAATCTGCACAAATTTGCACACAAAAGAAGTGAAAAAATTTGTTCTTTTCATAATTTTCAAAGTTCTTTGAACCATCTGTGCATCATTTGGATCATCTGTGTCATTACATTTTTTTTTATACATTAGTAATTACTAGAAGTGAAATTTTAAAGATTTCGGGGCCCTAATTCCATACATTTGCAGTCTTTTTACAACTAAGATTGGTAATATTTTTAGTATGAATCTGAAATATTGTCAAAATGTAATCATAAGAACGCATCTCTTTCGCTTATGCCAACGCCATACACTTTCGTTTTAATTGTAACTGCGTAATAAAATGTTTGAGTTTAGTAACCAGTCTTAAAATTTTGAACCAATCCCAAGCGCTATTTTCGAAGCGAACCAATTAAATGCATTTTAAATAAATTATAATAGTTAATACAAAAATGATGATCAAGAACCGCATGCCCACAACAATTTTTGTGATCTAAGATATAAGACAAGATTTAAAAGTTTCGATAATAAACACAAAGTTTTTATTTTAAGGTAAGATTAATTTATAAAAACTTATATTAAAAATTTATAAGGTTTGGATAAAATTTACAATATGTGTTTTTAAAATACTATTTTGTAACTATAAGGTTGTAGGCCCAATTTTTATGGCAACGTGTTTCGCTTTTTAAAGTTACTTGCAAATAATTAATGTCTAACAAGTTCTGTTATGAAAGTTGATGGAATTATATACTGTGCTACTGGATTTAGCGTTTTAAGTGTAAAAATTAGCAAAGATTGTGTAAGTTTTTACAAAGAAAGATAAATTTTTTATATTAAGAAAAATGCCAATTCAGTAAAGTATGTTTTTTTTTTACTTTGTATATTTATATGCGTGATATATAGGTACCTTCATAAAAAATTTAAACTTTTATTTTTTAAACCAAGTTAATTCTATTATATAGAGATAGTTAAATGACAATTTTTATACCAAATTTATTATCTGGGGTCAACTATAAAAAAAGATATTCAATTTTGAAGGTGAAGAAAATGACTTCAAAAAGTGGACTTTTAACATAGTTCATAAAATATTAACAATTTACCGTCACATATACGATAAAAACTGTTTATTTTATCCCACTTATATTAATTAAATAAAAAAAAGGATGGGGTGTTTAGGCCTATTTTAAAAGTAGGTCAAATTTGATTCAAGTCATTTTATTAAAAAAATTACCATTACTAATCTAAATTTAAGTTTGATCATGCTTAAATCTAATAAGAATGTGAAAAAAAAATTGTATAAAAAATTAAAGTGATTGAAGTCTGGGAACAAAAATACCCCAATAAGTTTGTACCCCACATAAAAATGTGAGGGGACTAAGTTATTAAAATACTTTAACTTATTATTTTATACTACATTTAAATCCATCAACAGACCCAAAAATTCTTGATACTTTTAAAGTTATTTTTTTAAGTTATTTCACATGGTCATAACCTTTGAGCATTAAAAAATGTGAATTTAAATTTAATTTTTGATAATGAACTTGAAAACTTATTAACTAATTAAGCTAACATTTGAGACAGGGGGTTCTATCCTTTTTAGATAGTTTTGTTCCTAAGTTTTTATTACCACAATTTTTTAGCAAATCATTCTTATTTGACATGATTGAACATACTTATACTTACAGTTTTCACAATGCCAAGTACAGTATCTGAAATATAAAATAACTCGTGTCTGCTCTTGATTAATATAAAAAATTTTAAAAATTAAAAGGAGTAAATAAAAATGTATACAAAATAATCAACATAAACAAAATAAAAGACATTAATGCCTAATTTATTATAGTGATTTTTAAATAAACTACAGGTCTTTAGTATTAGATCTGCTATAACTCCTTCCTGGCTTATGTCAATATTTTCAGCTTCATCTTCATTGACTTTCCAATATCCTATTGTGTATGTAATAGATTTTTTTTTTAATGCTACCTTTTGATCAATAATACTACCAAAAAATAAATGTATATTTCCATCATCTAGCTCCCATTTATGGCTTAAGAGCTGCCCTATTAAGTTTCCATTTTTTAAAATTACTCCTAAAATTTGTTTTTGTTTTTTATCAATATTAACAAAAAGAGAATTTGTGGTTTTTAAATTTTCAGCTATTGCTCTTTTAATATCCTTCTCTAGTTGCTTTTTTTCCAGGCGTTCTTTTTTAATTAGCTTTGGCGCATCTTTTTCCTATTTCTTCATACAAAAGATTATTAAAATTTTTAGAGGCTTGACACGTTAAAGCTCCTTTGCAAATTGAATGTCTTCTTGTTCTGGCGATGTTTTCTCATCAAGCCATGTTAACGTTTTGTGTACCCTGGCTTTTATTTTAGAATCCAGAAAACCAAAAGTAGCATAAGGAGCACGACACAAAAAAAAATCAAGCATGCCCAAGATCCTTTCAGCCTCCATTGTATGAGGTGGAGCAAATAGTGTGGTTTTTATCATTTCTTTAGATGGATTTGAGAGATTGCCAGTCAAATACCTAGCCATCTGTCTTTTGAGAACTGTCTCTGTGTAGCTTATCAAAGCTGATTAAATCTTTACCAAAATATTTTTATTTTTTATTACACAAAGAGGGGATTGGTGTACCTTATCTTTTTTAATATTCAATACTTGACTAAAAATATCCACATCTGTATAAAGAATTGATTCTGGATTACTTTTGAAGTAAGCTAATTTCCTAATTGGTTTCTGGAAAATGTCACCCTAATAAAAAAATAATGTTTGAACATTTTTTTAACTACTTTATTTGTTTATTAAGAAACCTTAAAAACCTTGGCAGGGAAGCAGGTGCGATTGCACTAGATAATTGACCACGGAAATATTATTTAGTTGCGAAAAATTGGCCAGATTTTTTAGTCGTTTTAAGAACATTTCAAAAACCAACAAAAAAGCGCAATAAGATTTACTGGACCGATGAGAGATGGTCAAAAAAAGAAAAATAGCTTTAAACGCAAAAAAACTTTTAGCAAAAGAAATTTATTAAAGCAATTATTTTTGAAACATCGTTTTTTTATAAATTTTTTTTTATAAAATTAAGCGACATTTTTTATATAGTAACAAGTAACAACTATAAAGAAACAAATGTTCTTCGATTTATCAAAGAGTATATATAATTTTTTTTTATATAGAGGTGGGGCGGTGGTGGTAGGGTTATAGCCCCGGGACTCATAATGTTAGGGGAAATAGTCAAGAGAACCACTCGGTATTTTTTTTAGTCATTTTTGCGCTGTGGAACATAAAAAGGCTGCTAAAATAATGCAGCCCCTTGGTCCTGAAAAGTCCAACAAGATTCAACCAATAAAACTAACGCTAGATGATTTATTTATAAATAAAAGTTTTTTCAATAACTGTTTATGCTTTGCGTAGTTTAAAAAGTTTAACACGTTTGAAACAGTTCTTCTTAGTAAGATAAACAAATGAAATAATTAAATCATTGAGTTACTGTAGAAATTCAAATAGAAATTAACTAAAAATGTTAAATTAATTTGTGAGGGTTAAGCGGAACTTCTTCCCAATAAGGCTGATGATGTTTAGTGAGTGGGCTTTATAATTTTAATTAGTATTTAAAACAGAAAAAAGTAACTTTAAGTATAGCTAGTTTGTAAGAATGGCTGAAGCAAAAATAATTGAAGTTAGTAAAACAATTTCTAAGAACTTAAAAACTTTTCTTTCTTGGGGGAAAGAATAAGTTATTGGGTACACTGAGTAAAATGGATTAGTTGTTAAAATTTGTATTAACTTTGACGATTAATAATAATTAAAAATGCAGTTATTATTGAAAGTATTTTTGTTTACAAAATCAATCGCACAAATTGCTTTAAAAGATAACATTTGAATAAAATAGACATAGATAAAATTACATAGATAAAAATACATTACATACATAAAAAATACATCCCTTATATATATAAAATAAGAATATACTAATAAAATCTATAATATATTTACAAAATGTTAACAAGTTAAAAAAAAAAATTTAAAACATTTACTATTGTTCAAAACATTTATAACTTTGTAGATGTGGCTCTAAGAATTAAAATAATAGTTTGTTTGATAGTATATTCTTAAAATAATTTATGATTGAAATTTTACGAAAACATAACAAAATTCAAATAATACAATGTTTTAAAATATTTCAACAGAATACTCAGGACATTCGGTTAGAATTTTTTTTATGATTTGCTAATTTTCATTTATCTATCATAAGTAACATTGTATTTGGTAAAGCTATCTTAGGTTATTAATAATTTTATTATTTATTTATTGGCCAAACGGATATAATTGTTAAAAACAAATTTTTTTAAACCAAAACTTTTAATAAAAAATATGTTAATAATTTCATTGTTTAGTACATCCAAATAAATTAAGCATAAAGTAGAGATCAGCGGTTGTATAGTTTTAAACAATATTTAATACGACGTTATTTGAAATAAAAGTTAATACATTTATGCTATGTACAAGCTTCAGCAACTGTCGATGCAAGTTGACATTTGTACTGGTGAAATGTATTTATAAAGTATAAATATAATGATTTGTTTGTTATTCACTCATGAAATAAGTAAATTGACAAACATATTTCGATAATTACTCTGAAAATAGAAAATTCTACAGCTTTTCACAACATTTACAAAATGTTAATGGCAATTTGTTTTTATATTAAGTTAGCTTACAAGACTGGTCGTAACTGACCTTTAAAAACAATTTAAAATCTAATTTTTCAAGTATGAATTCATCTCAAGTTCGTTTCTTGCATTACACTTTTGTCAAATTTAAAGTATTACTTGAAATTTCAAATTTGCTACTTGTATTTGGAAAATATTTTTGCTTTCTCTAGGCTTTTTAAAAGCTATACTTTTCAAATTTTAATTCAATTTAATTCAAATTTTAGAAGTATGACTTCAAATTTCAAGTTTGCTTATTGCATTTCACCCATAGTTTTCGTCATTAAAGTAATTGTCAACAAACCAAATTAATTAAGTTAAGTATTTTTAAAAGAAAATATTGGTTTCTATTAACATGAGATTTATTATTATTAAGGTTATAACAACAATAAATTTAATACAGTCGATAATATTTTAAGTAGCAGAATTAAAATATAAAATTATAAATAACTTTAAATTATAAATTTATTATTAATTTAATAAAAAAATATGAATGCATAAAACAAGATAGCAAATGCTTAATTTTTTAAACAAATCAGTTGTTATTTGGAATAATTGATTTATATTATTTAATATAAATACTTTTTTATATTTTAATAAGTTTTATATACATAAAATAATGTATTAGTTGGCTATTTGTTGACGTTATTTTTTTAGTAGTTATTTAAGAACTTGTTTTTTTTAAATTAGAAATGACTGGACGTGCAAGAGGAAGATCAAGAGGTTAATTTTTTTTTGCCACTTTATATGAGTTAGTTGAGTTTTCATAAAGTTTTTTTTTTCAATTATGACATTAAAAATGACAAAGGGTTTTCAACTTTTAAAACTGAGATTTCTATTCTGGTGATAACCTTTTTTATTGTGTCACTATTATTAGTATAATTAAGTCAATCCGAGGTTTTCAAGTTTCTCCTACCAACACAAATAAATTAGGGTTTTTACATCAGATTTTTCTCTGATATAAAAACCTTAATTACTAAAGGTAATAACCTACAATAAATAAGGAGCTAAGAACCTGTGTAAGAAAATTTATATTTTGTATATATTTAATAAACCTCGTATTTCATTTTCCAAATCCTATTTTTTTTAATCTTAAAAGATAATTATAATTCAACTTTGATTAAAATACCTTTTTATTTGTAATTTTAAGTTCAATTAATAAAAACAAATTAAATTTTAAATGTTATAGATTAATGTATGTTAATGAATACACGCACAGGCCTTGGCATGAGTAAATAAGTGCATGAACAGAGAAACGCCTAATCTAAAACAGACTTTGTATGTGGTTAAAGCTGCCTGCACTGATATTACTTGCACTGGCATTTTCACTGTTTGTTTGTTTTTTTTAATTAAGATAAAAGTATTAATAGAGTAATTATGATAATTGATTATGTTTTATTAATAGTTTTGTTAGTTATTTTATCATGCTATAGCAACAGTTTTTTTTCTGATATTTTAATTACAATTAATATTGTTATGATGCTTATTCAAGCATCATAACAATTATAACAATATTAATTGTAATTAAAATTATAACTATATATAAAAGTAATTATAAAATAGGTCGTGGTGGTGGTAATGAAGATGCTCCACAACCTCCTGTTGGAGTTCAACCTGAACCTTATCAAGCACCAGCTGGTCGTGGACGATCTCGTGGAAGTGTTCCTTTACAGCATGCTCAACCTCCACAGCCTGCTCAACCTCAGCAAACTGCTCAACCTCCACAGCCTGTCAAAGTACCACCTAGTGATCAAAGACAGCAGCAGATGTCTTCTTTACCTGCAGATATGTCTAAATTGCAAGTTCGCGATGAACAACCACCTAGAGATGAACGTCGCAGAAGAGGTTTTGGTAGGTATTAAAATGTTAGGTTTATACACTTATATGTTGCTGTAACCAGCTTTTTTTATAAATTTTTGTTTTGTAACATATTGGAAAGCTAAAGCTGAGTTTTGCTACATGTAAAAACATGGATTGACTATTTAGCATTTAGCAAAGTATCGAGGAAAAAAAATAATAATCGTTTTTTATTAAACAAGATTTACAGTTTTATTTCAGTTTTTATTAAACCAAAATGAATTCAACAAAAAATAACTTTATAACAATATCATAACTATCTAAGGCATATGTAAAATTCACAAAATGTTTATTACTTATTATGATCTGTATTACTATATAATAAGGTGTTAGGTATTTACAAATGCTTGAGTTATAAAACTTATTTTCATACACACACACACTATATATATATATATATATATATATATATATATATATATATATATATATATATATATATATATATATATATATATATATATATATATATATACATATATACATATATATATATATATATATATATATATATATATATACATATATACATATATATATATATATATATATATATATATATATATATATATATATATATATATATATATATATATATACATATATATATATATATATATATATATATACATATATATACACACACACACACATATATATAGGTTTAGAAGACTCTCATGTTTTAAAGACAAGAGAAGAAGGCCAGCTTAAAGTGGGTACATTTGGTCAGCAGGTGGAAATTGTGTCCAACTTTTTCAAAGTAGATTTCAGATCTGCTGATTTACATTTATATAATGTAGTATTTGATCCTGATGTACAGAGTTCAAAGTTTAGACATGCTATGCTTCATAAAATTGATGATGTAATAGGAAGTACACGTTGTTTTGATGGTATGATTATGTATTTGCCAAAAAAACTTTTGGAACCTGTGACCAAGTTGTCTGTTAAAACAAATAAAAATGAAGATATTTCAATTACTATAACACACAGATGTGCTGTGCCTGCAAATTCTCCTTCAGTTGTTCAACTGATGAACATTTTATTTAAAAAGTTTGATTTTTTTTATTATTATTGTTTTTAATCATATTTTTTATACTAGATTGTTACAATGTTTGATCATTGTTATTTTTAAACACTATCAATCTTTAGGCAGCTTAAAATATTAAATATGCAGCAAATTGGGCGGCATTATTTTAATCCAGACCGCAAAATAGATGTGCAAGTTGAAGTGGAAAGAGGTATCGCAACTCAGTTGCAAGTTTGGCCTGGACTTCAAACCTCAATTTTGCAATATGAACAGTCTGTCATGTTGTGCGCAGATGTGACGCACAAAGTAATGCGCAGAGATAGTGTTTTGGATTTTTTATATAATACTCATCGTAGTTTGTCCTCACAAGGAAAATCAAATACATTTTATGAAGCTGCCGCTAAATCACTCATTGGTGAAATTGTTTTGACCAGGTAAGCATAGTTAACTTATTTAAATTCTTGATCATTTAATTTAAAAGATTTTTTTTTCTAATGTATTTTTATATAAGGTTATATATATTAAAATTTAAATAATAAGAACTGTGTTAAAGGTATAATAACAAAACATACCGTATTGATGATATTGATTGGAATAAACATCCAACTGATAAATTCACAAAGGCTGATGGTTCTGAAATTTCTTTTCAAGAATATTATGAAAAAACTTATGAGCGTAAAGTCCTAGACCCAATGCAACCTTTGCTAATTTCAAAGCCTAAAGATAAGGATAAAAAACGTGGTACCCAAGGACCAATCCTTTTATTACCAGAGTTTTGCTCCATCCAAGGTTTGATTTTTTTATAGTTGTGTTTTTATTGACTTATTTTTTCTCATTCTTTATTTTTTGTGTTTTAATAATTTAAGTTTTTTTACAACATTTTGATAAACTTGCTTTCTTGTCAGTTTATTTTTCAGTGTCCATGCAAAACACGTAGTCAGCAGAACTTTTAGCGTTTTGTTTAGCTTAAATAAATAGAATCCCTGTTGAATAATAAAAAAAAACTTTTTATAAACATTTTAAAAATAGGCTAGTAAAAAGTAGAAAGTTAAATATAAAAAAATCTTTTTAAAAACCACGTTTTAAAAATGGACTAAAAGGTAAAAATTAAGCTATTTCATGGGACCCAAGAACTTTGTGCATACACAAACTGAAATATCCACTCTCTAGTTTATGACTGAAAATGTTGGGCACCAATAGAAATGAGTTGTACTTAGTTGCCCAACATTTTCAGTTATTGACTTATATGAATATTTCAGGTTGTGTACGTATACTAAGCAAGTACTTTGTGTACGTACACAACTCATAGTTTTTAAATAGTTTTTTTGCTTTTTAGTCCACTTTTAAAATGTTGTTTTTAAAAACATTTTTTATATTTTTTACTTTAAAGTCCATTTTTAAAAATGATCCATAATTAAGGATGTTTATAAGAAGAGGATAAATCCACAAAATAGTGTAAAATAAAAAAATAATGGCCTATGAATATAGCTTTAGTATTGTACTAATTAAACATCTTAGAACAAAAATTTTATTATAGTGTATTTTTAATGCGTCTGATTTAATAAAGAGTTATTTAATTGTCATATTTTGCTAATTGTAATAATAGTTGTTAATAGGATTTGAAAAATGGTAGGATGCAGCAGGTTTTATGGTTCAGTTAAATATATAAACTTTATTATTCAAAACAATTTAGTGTTATGAACAATTTAATATCTGTTCAGTAAATACAATTTTATTAACTCAAGTTAAATTTAAAAAAATCCTTTAATTTAAGGTTTATCAGAAACTATGCGTAGTAATTTCAATGTTATGAAAGACCTCGCTCAGCATACTCGAATTTCTCCTGAGATGCGTGCGAAAAATTTAGAGTCATTCATGAATGAACTCCAAGCAAACCCTGAAGCTGTGCAGGAGTTAACAAGATGGAACATGAACTATGAGAAAAAGCTTCTGCGGATGACTGGAAGGTGTTTTCCTGCTGAAAATATGATCCAGAAAGATGCGAAATTTACTTACAAAATTAGTGATGCTGATTGGACAAAAGAATCACGTGGCAAAATGTTGTTATCACCAGTTAGCATTAGCAAATGGCTGCTAGTTTTTTCTCAGCGTGATAGTAATATTGCCCAAGATTTTAAAAATACACTGCAAAAGGTATGTGGACCTATGGGAATGCAAGTTGCTGAACCTGAATTGTAAGTTGTTAGTTGTCTCATGTTTAGTGATTAAAATTTTTTATTTAACAGTTTTTTTCAACAGTATAAAAAATTTTATTCAATAGTTTTTCAAAGTAATATCATTTTGTGCAGGTGTCGTTTGAACCAAGATAATGCAAAAGCATTTTTTACAGCTCTTAAAGAAAATATCACAAATGATCTTCAAATAGTATAGTTTTTATTTTAATTTTTTTCATTTGTTTGTTAGGAAAGGTTTTTTATGTTTTACTTTAATTTTTTGCTGCATTACTTTTTTTTAACAATTTTAAAATGAATTGTATTATGAGTTTTTGTGTCATGTTTTTTAGGTTGTGTGTATTGTCCCCAATAACAATAAAGATCGCTATGACTCTATAAAGCGTCTGTGTTGTGTAGAACGACCTATACCATCGCAAGTTGTTGTCAGTCGTACTTTATCAAAGCAGCAGATGCTTATGTCTGTTTGTACAAAAATTGGCATACAACTAAATTGTAAAATGGGTGGTAATGTCTGGGCTGTTGATATTCCAATACAAGTAATGGTTGTTGGATATGATGTATACCATGATTCACTTACAAAAGGAAAGTCATTTGGTGGTTTTGTAGCTAGTACAAATAAGTCACTTACTAATTATTATTCAAGAATCACTGCTCACACAAGTCACCAGGAAATTTGTGATCAGTTAAAAATTTGTATGACAGGTTGGTAAACCTTTTTCTTATAAATTACTTTTAAAAAAAAATACAACATTTAATTCAATTAAAACAATTAAAAAAATCAAATGATCAATAACAACTGCTTTAGATTTTTTGATTTTTTTTTTTCAAAGTAAAGGTTTTGTTAAACTAATTAAACAGATGTGTAATCATACTAATCAGTATGTAATACACTTTTTTATTTTTTTCACTGATTTGGGTGTGTATTAATTTTTATTATTGAGTTTTAAGATGATTGTTTTCTATTTTTAAAATGATATTTAAAAGGCCATTAAAAATTATGAAAAACAAAACTTCTAATGCAGTGAAGTTTTGTTTAAATAAAAGGTATTGATAATTCTCAGTATATATTTAATATTGCCTCTTTAATTTTATATATCTTGTATTGTCTCTCTTTAATATATAACTTTATATTCTGAAAAAAGTTATAGAATAGTACTTAAAAGTTGCAGTTTAACTATGATCTATTGTTATTAGTGATGTGCCAATGACAAAGGCCATTTGAGGTTGATGATAGAGTTTAATGTATGTATACTAAGTTAATATTATTTGGTATACAATTTGCATATGTAAGGTCTATGCACCAGTTTGGTTTAGCTTATTACTGATGCATGATCAATTACCTGATGGCTAAACCGATTGCTTGGTTGCTGGTTACCAATAACATGCTAGGCTGGTAGGTTGAGTCACTGCTGATGTATAGGTACATGTTTTATATATATTTTATATCCTTAATATTATTATAATACCCTTATATAAGTTTTTTTATATAAATGGCATCAGCCTTTGCCATTGCTACATCACTAAATATTATAGACTACTGATCAAAAGCTAGGGTTCACTTGCTTGTAAAAAAAAATGTAAACATTTGCGATTAAAAAGAAATTTTTTTTTTTGTTAGTTGATTATAAATTATATTTATACTGTAAAACATGCAATATTAATAACCTTTTGTAAAAAGTTTAGAATAAAAACTTATCTGATTATTTGTAGAAATTTCAATTGTTTTTAATGACTCAAATTTCAGGTTGTCAAGTAGTCATTTTTTTCTGGATCTTTTTTATTATTTTTTTTCTGGATCTTTTTTCAATTAAAATTTTTTTTAAGTATTTTGATTGATTGGTATATTTTACGTTTATTTTTGTAATTTGAGTAATAATTTATATTTTGTAATATAATTATTTTAAATTTTACAATAAATATTCTTTTACAACCTTCCTTTTTTAAAAGTTTTATTTAACGTTGCGGCTAGCGCAACAGTAGGATAGCTATAATTTTTTATCTTAAAGTCACATTAATAAAGTTTGATTGGTTTGTTTAGTCACGGCTACGAATATGATTTGTTCATTTTGAAAGTTTTGTAAAATTTAAAAAGAATTGCACTCTTTATTATACCAATAGCATTGTGGTACCTCATTGGTTCATCTTCCACGGTGATCCGGTATTGAGTTCTTCAATAAGAAAAATGTTTTTAAATGTTTTTTAATTATTTTTTATTGAAAGATTATTATATCATTGTGTATTGAAAGATCCATTGATTTTTATTATTTACATCCATTGACTGATATAGGGATAAGTGCAGTGAGTGTACATACATCCACTGATTGTAAGTGTGAATTCACTCCACTAGTAGAGCGCACACGCATTGATTAAGGGTTTTGGTATGGGCTTGCATTTTTTAAATGAAAAAAGTAATAACCAATCAGAAATTACTACCATGAAATTAAAGCAATGGTACTGTTGCACGAGCAACAGCGTTAATTTAAATATTGTAATTTTTTAATTGTTTTTATTACTTTTATCAGTTGATAACTGAATTAAGAACTGAATTTTGAATAAAATTTTAAGTTACGACTATCTATTTTATCTTGTAGAGTAATCAATAGGTAGGTCAAAGCCGTAATGGTCTAAATGGAATCAGGTTTGGCTGAAAAAGCTTGACAAAAATCAATTTAAAATTAAGCTATGGGCTGAGTAAAAAGTTTTAGCGATTTGAAATACGGTTTAGTTGGTTTTCAAGCACTTTATCAGCACTCTATTAAACCTAAACATAAATTAGTTTCTATTAGCTTATCAAAAGCAGCTTGTTGTTTATATATAGATTCAAAAACAAATTCTATTTGGGGGGAGAAAGTAGTACAATTAGAGTATTCAATAAATGATAAAATTTATAGAATACTCTAATTAATTTATAGAATAATCTAAATATTCAGCAGCTTAAAATAGCTATGTGGCTGTTTAAAGTAGCTAAAAATGATCAAGACATTGTGATAATACATCATTATTATTTTAAAGAATGTTTCCAAATAGTATAGTAAGATAAGGTTTTAGTTCATGTAGACAAAAAACTTATATATTTTTCTAAATTGCTCTAAATTTTAAGTTTATAAATTGCTCTAATTTAAAGAGCTCTAAATTGTTTTTAAAAATAGTATTCATTTTTTCAAGATTTTTTGCCATTTTCCCCCTCAAAATACTGTCATTTTGCCATTTTTTAATGAAGTTGTTGCTTGACAGCATGTAATTTTAATATTACCATGTATGGATATATGTAAACTAATGTTGCATGACCTTCAAAATGTCTGGCCTGTGCATGTTTTTTTCCAGATGAACACATGCTGAAATTCATCTGTGTTTAAAGTAAAATAAATCTTATGTTGCTGTACATTGTTTGTTTTATTGGAGCTTGCACGATGAAAATATGTGATTCCAACATTCAAGCATGGCAGAGGTTGAGTTAAGGTCTGGGGATGCTTTTCTAGAAACAAAGTTAGTGACGTTTTACACGCATTTGCAAGCATCATGAATAAAAAATTTATTTCTGTGCTGAGAAAAAATTGTGATTTATGTATTCGTTATTTAGCTGGATAACAATCCTACACACTTGTTTTCTGTTAAAGTTGTGCCTTGAATAATAATAATAAAACAAGGTCTAGTGTGTGATTAATAAAAAGAAAAAAATTGCTTTTAAAGGCAGTCAAAGTTTCTTTCATATTTTTATCCACAAGTTTGTATATATATTTAGCTTACACTGCCATGAACAATTAAAGTATAATATTTGTCACCAGTAAGTTGACAAAAGCTACATTTTATGTAAGTCTCGTCGTTGATCAAAATGCATCCATTTAGTTTTGTCTAAATTTGGGTGTAAAAGTTTTGTACTTGTGCTTTAATAATGGAAATTTTTTTGCTGCATTTTTTTGGGTTTGGGTATTTAATTGCTCAAAATAACTTGTAATTTCTTAACCAAAAAATCAGAAAATTTGTACTTTTCAGCTCTTTCTTTTAGGTTAATTCTATTTGGAATTCTTTTAAAAGAACAATGAATCTTATTTACCAATGACTTGTTGTTTAAAGAATTGTTATTTTCTTATTCTCTAGCTAATTCGATGGGTAAAGTCTTCATTTTATATTTCCAACAGTAGATATAGGAATTCTAGTAGCTTTTGAGACACATTTGTAGCTCTTTGATGGATTTTTCTTCATGAATGTGCAATATTTTTTCCAATTTTTAAATTGCTTTGATGATATTTATGATAATAACTTGTAATTAATTTTTTTTATTTATTTTTTTTTGAAAGTTATTGTTACTTGTTTTGAATTTTTTTTTCTCTAAGTGTCGTTTATTTGAATGTGGTTTCTGTTTCTCTTTTTTTTTTCTATGCTTTAAAAAGAACTAAAATATGAAATGTTTAAAAAAATCAATTTCATTAAATATAGTTTGTTAAATACAATAAGAGATAACAGGTTTTATAAAGTCATATATTGGCCAGTGTATTAAGGAAAAATTTTATTGTTTGTTACAAAAAAAAAAATTTTAAATGCCTATATTTTTGTTTTTTATCGATATCTGAAGAATTTTGGATATTTGAATTTATATTATATAATGCTATTTTTTTAGGTGCTCTTAAAAAGTATCACGAAATCAACAACACTCTTCCTGATAAAATTATTGTATATCGAGATGGAGTTGGAGATGGTCAGTTAGGCATGGTCCATGGACACGAACTGCCACAACTAAAAGAGGCATTTAAAGATGTTGGTGCTGGTTACAATCCGAAGTTTGCTATGATTGTTGTTAAGAAAAGAATAACTACGCGATTGTTTTTAGGTAACAATGGCCAGTACTCAAATCCACCTCCGGGTACAGTTGTTGACACGGTGGTGACTAGACCCGAGTGGTACGATTTTTTTTTGATTTCTCAATCAGTGCGTCAAGGTACTGTATCACCAACACATTATAATGTTATAAGTGATAATACTGGTTTAAAACCTGATCATTTTCAAAGATTAACCTACAAGCTATGCCATCTGTACTATAACTGGCCAGTAAGTTTTTAATGATATACGATATATTTTAATAATATAAAGTTACAACTATTTTAAGTCCGGATTTTAGCATTCTAATGTCATAATGTTTTTATTACTGATAGTTAAGGATATCTAGTTAGACGTTTTATTCTAAATGGATATATTGAGTTTCTAAAACTCATTTCTTAATTTTTGCTTAAAGCTTTATCTATTCGCGTTCATCATAAACTTTTAAAATATTTTGATAGTTAAATTTTATTGTTTTTTGTTTTTATATTTTTATCGTTTTTTATTGTTTATGTGGTTTTAAGAGTCATTGAAACAATGACTTTTCATTGTGTTACGATTTTTTTTAATTCGATTTTTTTTTTTTTTTTTTTTTTCTTGCTTTTTCGACTTGTTGAATTTTTAGTTGCGTAATTTGCTTAATTTTTTTTTTTTATTTCTCTAGGGAACAATTAGAGTTCCAGCTCCTTGCCAATATGCACATAAGTTGGCATTCCTCGTTGGTCAAAGTATCCATTCTGAACCTAATCCTGTTTTAGCTGATCGTTTATATTATTTATAATCGGCAAACTATAAATATATAATTCATGCTAATAAACATGCAATTATTTCTTTCGTTGAATATCAGTATTTTTACAGAAAACTATTTTCAAAGTATGAACTTTTTTGTATATATTATATGACCACTCTGGTTTTGTTTAATAGTATTGCGTTTTTATCAAGGTGATTTTTTACCAACAGATGCGTTTTTATCTACAGATGTTGAATTTTATTAAAGTTGTTAGGCTTAAAGCTTATTATAATGCGATTGAGCGCACTTTTCTTTTTAAAGATTTCAAATGATTTCGAAAATATTTTTATTATGAGATTAACATTTTTGTTATGTTACATATCAGTATTAACAATAGACTATACTTTATTTTGTCATCTAGCTTCTTGATGATTTTTTTTCTTTTTTTGTATATATGTTTTTCGATTTATCTTGATTTAATTGTGCGCATTATACAATTAGATAGTTGTTGTTTTTTGTTAGGGGTTATCCACCTATTAGCGAGATCTTTTTAGCTGAATCAAGGTTTTTCTCGTTGTCTCGTTAGAGACAACGAGAAAAGCCTTCATTCAGATATAAACCGGTATTATGGTATACAGAGTGCACGGCTGTACACCCTGTATACCATAAAATGCTGTCTTCTCTGATTTCATTCAGCAAGTGTGTGGTTATTTTATAAAAATCTTAATAGTTGTTATAACAAAATCTATTTTATAAATTATGTTATATATGATTCAGTATGAACGGACAAAGGCGACCTAAGCCTGTCCAGTAAAGGCGAGTTTCCACTCATCCGTTTTTCAACGGGATAGGAAAGGAAAAATCACGTGAGCATGCGTAATAAGTTTTATTTGTCCGAAAGAAAACTGCGCATGCTCACGTGATTATTTTTCCGTTCCCTTTCCTTTTCCCGTAGAAAAATGGATGAGTGGAAACTCACCTTAAGGGATCGTCCAATAAGTACGTATGCATTTTTTTTTGTCCTTTCCCCCTGCATTTTGCAATTTTTTTTTTTTTTAGTGTCTCCTTTATTTTATAATTGACCCACTGTTCATTTCATACACGACATTTGCAGACCTCTTTTGAGTGTACGTACTTAATGGACGGTCCCTAAAGCATAATTTCATTTATCTCGTAATTTTATCACAAAGCACTATAGGATGTCCTGCCGGATTTTTTATTTGAATTTCTTAAATTAAATAGTTATTCTTGTATGTACTTAAAAGAATTTTGATCTTAGTTAAAACAATGCCATCATTTTGTGCTGCTACAAACTGGAAGTAAGAATGAAAAGAAACTGAAGATATTTTATTTTTGCGTTTTCCTGAAGATGTAAAAAAACTTGCTAATTCATATAATATTTGTAACAACATTTTTTCATTTAAAGTCATAAAATTATTATTGTAATATTTAAAAACATTCTTTTGTTTAATTTTTAGATGTAAACAATGGGTCATCACCTGTCGTAGGAAAGATTTAGGCAATAAAGATCTTGTATTTTTGAACAAAAGCTTTTGAAAACACAATGTATTACTCTACTAATAATAATGGAAAACGTTTGTTACAATCAGCAATTCCTACTATTTCTACCCATATCCTTCACCTTGTTTGCATCAGGAAACTACTAGTTGAACGTCATTAATTTCCAGCGAAGAAACGAGTTGTTTGTTTACCTGTTAATAGGGTACCCTTGCGGTTCTAAAAATAGGTTTTTGCAAAGCTTTCTGGGATCGAAATACGGACAAACATTGCTCAGAAACAAAAGAATTTCTGAGAAATGCTAGTTGTTGTGGGATTGATATTCGGACAAACAATCAATTTGACGTCACCCAAACTATACCCTATTCAGATATTTTAGTAATTTAGAAAACAAAATGTATGCTAATCAAATAACTTTCAACAAACTTTAAAGGTTACTATTGACATTGCGAGTCGAAATTTCGAGACTACGTAAACAAGTTCGACATTTAAAATCCAAGAAAAAAAACTGTGATAGGTCTATAAAACATATTTTAAGTTCATCTAAGAAATACTTATCAACTATATAAGTTAGTTTATTTAAAAGTCAATTAAAAATGAATAAACGAGTCGATAAAGGAAAACGCTGGGTAGTTTGAGACAAGTTTAGGTTTCGCGAATACTGTTTTCCATAATCCTTAAACTTTAAATGTCTTGTAAACAATATTCTGTTTACCAAGTCAAACCTGTTTATTATTATTTTTGCATCGTGTATTTTCAGTTCTTCAAGAAAGGTTTTCTCGACTGTTTTCATTATTAAAGTTACGTGCTGATGCAATTAATCCGCTTGATCGCAATGTCAGTCATGTTATGGATGAAATGTCTTTAAAGCACCATTTAGAGTATGATAGAAATTCTGACAGGGTTTACGGTATTATAAATGTTAAACTTTTAAATCAGGCTCTTGTAATTATGGTTATAGGCTTGGCAAATATATGGAAACAACCAATAGTTTAGTTTTATTATAATTCAACAGTATCAACAGCTGACTTGGCTTCTTTACTACGTGAAGCCATTTTTAAGGTTCAAGAAACTGATTTACGCATTAGATGTGTAGTTTGTGATCAAGGATCTACTAATATAGCTGCCTCACGTTTGCTTGGTTTTTCGAAAAATTTACCAAACTTTTATAATTCTTCTAATAATAAAAATACTCGTGTTATTTTTGATCATCCGCATTTAGTAAAAAGTATCAAACAATTTACGAAGACATTAATGGTGAAATTGTTTCTTGGCAACACATCCAGTCTCTGTGCAATTTAGATGAAATAAACTCATTTTATATGTTAACTTGAAAAATTTTAATGCAACCAAAGGATGAAGTCCTTTTACACATGGCTTTATTCAAAAGGTTAAGTTATATCGTAGGTGTACAGATGTATTCTTCCTTAGTTCAGCTGACAATCCGTCAGTTTTATGTCACTAGTTTGTGAAACAGCTGTAATGAAATTTATTGATAAATATTTTTAAAGAGATGGACTGGCCGTGATTCTCATCAATAAAATTAAAAATTATTTTCAATTTAGCACAATCAACTTAAAGAACATTTTTTTATTTGGAAAAAAACATTGTTCTGTTTTTTAAGGACAAGAATTTTTTATTTCTTAAAACAGAGACATAAACCTACGCATTAAGTCAAATTGCACGTATTCTTCATAATTAATATATTATGACACTATTTTTTTAATTTTTTTTGTAATAAGATGTGTTAACAGTGTCTGATTAAGGTCGTTTGGAACCCCCTTTAAATACAATACATGCAATTATTTTTGTTTTACCCACTATCACTACTCATTTAAATTTAAAAAAAAATTATTGTACTTTATTTTTAAACATAATTATTGTACTTTAAAAAATAATTATTGTACTTTATTTTTAAACAGAGGTACAGAGTGGGCTTACAATTAAACACCGAGAAACAAATTATTCTTATACTACATATAAGTATTTGGTTTTTTTATATATGTATAAAAAATTATAATCTCTATATGAAAAATATTACAATTTTAAATCCTAGGGAAATATTAGGTTAGTTTTAAACCTTAATTTAATATATATATTTAAATATGATTTATATTATTTCAATATAGTTATATATCTACTTTTCTTGCTTTTGCCGCGCCAAATTTAGAAATCAGTTCTGCACAATTTAATTCTTTTACAAAATCATGTTCAACGCATAGAATGCTTAATGCATTTAATCGATTATGGCACATAACAGAAAGTTTTTGATTTTTAATAAGCGCTAACTTCGAAAATGATCTTTCACCTTTGCAGACTCCGTACGCTATTGTTAAATATATCCTAAAAGCAATTGTCACGTTTGGATAACATTTTTTAGATAATATATCTTTAAAAATTTCGAAAATGTTTCCTTCTGCATTTGGTTTGTTCTGGCCAATCTAAATGTTTACGTGGTCATGAAAGTGAATCAGTTCATTTTTTAACTCAAATTCTACAGGGTGGCCCATAAGTCACTTTACATTTTAAAAATTAAATAACTTTTTTTCTATTAATATATTTCTATTTCTCTTTTCAGAATTAAAAAATATAATCTTTGGAAATTTTTAGTATAGATACGTTTACAATAGAACAACGAGTGAAGATAAGTGAATTTTACTTTGAAAATGGACGGTCAATTGTTGCAATGCAAAGATCGTATATGCGCCATTTTAATGTTCGATATCTCCCTAGTAGGCCTGCAATAATGAACTTAGTGACGCGTTTTCAAGAGCATGGCTCTGTAAGTGATAGGACTAGAAGTGGACGAGGTTGTTCAGAACGTACACATGAAAATACTGAAGCTGCCAGCCGTGGCATTGAAGAGAACCACATCCACTCAAAGACGTTCTCAAGAACTTGGCATCTCACGGAGTTCTCTGCAGTGCATTCAAAGAGACTTGGATATGTACCCTTACGAGATTCAATTAGTGCAATCTTTACAACCACCAGACTTTCAGAAACAACTAAATTATGCTGTCAGGTTTCAGAGAACTGCAAGAAATGACAATGAGTTTATTCACAAGTTGATCATGGGAGATGAAGCTCATTTCCATTTGAATGGACATGTGAATAAGCAGAACATCAGGTTCTGGGGCACTGAAAATCTACACCAAGTTCATGTAAGTCAATTACACCCAGTTAAAGTCACAACATGGTGTGGAGTAACATCAGAAAAGGTTATTGTGCTCTTCTTCTTTGAAGATGTAAATGAAAATGCTGTGACTGTAACTGTTGAAAAATATCAAGACATGCTAGCGAATTTTGTTCAACCTCAGTTAGCAAACCTGGCAGGGTATTAGTGGCAACAAGATGGAGCAACTGCACATACCGCTAGAGCCACAATGCAGTTGTTAACTGCGATGTTTCAGGATCGGATAATCTCTCTTAAATCCGATTTTGAATGGCCTCCACGTTCTCCTGATTTGACAGCACCAGATTTTTGGCTTTGGGCATATCTTAAAGACAAAGTGTACGCAAATAAGCGTACCCAAACTATTCAAGATCTCAAGGCAAACATACGGCAGGAAATTCTTTCCCTACAACCTCAGATGTTAAGAAGTGTTGTAGAGAATAGCTTAAAAAGAGCTCGACATTGTGAAGACAAGAATGGAGGCTATTTAAGAGACATTATCTAGTCAGAACTAACTTACAGACTCTAAACTTTGACATAAAAAAAGAATTAATTAAATACAGTCGTTTAAGAAAAAGTTATTTAATTTTTAAAATGTAAAGTGACTTATGGGCCACCCTGTAGATCATTAGAATATTTTTGTTGAAGATGTCTTGCTCGATTTCTTTTATCCAGTAATTTTTTATTGTTAGAATCGAACAAAACTGAAAGATTTTGTTGAACATTTTGATAACATGGATGAACGTTTTTCCATTTCAACAATTAAACTGGCAACAATTACTAAATACACCTGAGTGTTAAATTTTTT